ATGATGAATATTAGTAAGATAAGAAAGATATCTCCTTAAGATTGTAGATGAGTAGAAAATAACATTTTTTAAATAAAATAACAAATTTTATAGTTTAATTAATAAATAGTACAATATTATCTATCGATAAAGATAGTTATCTAAATTAACATGATTGTATTTAAATCGTTTTCTTGCTTCTTGATGATTTTGGTAAATAAATAAATTTACTTTAATAAATATAACTTAGCTTACAAATTGTTAAAAAGAAAATGATTCATGACGATTGTTAAAGATTTTTTGTATCTACTATTTATTGGTGTTAAGATAAGTGTAAATAACTGATGGTGTTTGAGGTCAAATAATGAACTTTTAACAACTGTGTGTTAAGATTATTAATTTTGGATATAAGGAATCATGAAAAAAAAATATGATTTAAAACCAGTCTGATTTTCCTTAATAGTGAATATCATATAGATATATTACATCTAATAAAAAGATTAAATGTCAAGTGCTTGAAATTCCTCATCTATTTGGCAATAGAAAGTAAAAAAAAAGTAAACGCACTTAAATACAAACATGCCAGAATGAATAATGACGTCATACCAATTACTAACAAAAATTATTTATGAAAATAAAACGGAAATTGTTTGTTACAAAGTATATTAAATGACTTAATTTAAAGCTTTTAGCAAGTAAGGCTAAGTATTTAATATATCAATAAGAAAATGCAGAGGAAGTTGAAACAGGTTGTAATGCAACTCACATGTGCAAGCGATGACATCACGCGTATCGAAAAAAGCCTTAAATATGGAGAGATGTACCTTGGACCTTGCGACAGTGTTATATCTCTTTATACTTAAGTCCAACTTAGACGTAACTTAGATGTAACTTAGCACATTTTTTCAAAAAAATTAACTTAAACATTAGACTATTCACAAAGTCTTAAAATAGGTATAAGCTACGTAAATAAAACAACAAAAAGTCATAGTTCATGTGTTAATGTAAAAAAAAAACAACATACGAAGTGAAATGTCAGTCCGCTATGACAAATCTAAGTTAACAAGGACGTAAAATTATATGATGACATAATTCAGTCGTCAAAACATATTTAGATAAGTCAAAGGTGGTATGAGATAAGCATTTATGAAGGTATAAAAAACATAATAAAAAAGAACTTACCGTGTAATAAATCCTACTGGCCAATAATATGAAAAAAACCGTGTAAGTCCTTGAGACCCGAATTATTACAGCTGGTTAAATACTGATATTGTCTGAGTTTAAAAACGATTTATCTTTAGTGATTTCGTTCGCGTGTTCGTTTAAGAGATTGTTTTATTATATTTTATAAAATGCGCGTGCGCACTACCATCGCGCGGACGGTTGTCGGAGCGACTGACTGGCCGCTACCTTGCCTTGAATACCTGATGATTGATAAAGTTACGTTTACAATGGATCCAAAATGTCGATAATAATTTGATTTGAATTGTCATACTAATATTGTGAATTAATATAAAATTAACAAGTATATTACATTCACGAAAAATAATTTTGATTCAGGAAATTTAAAAAAAAAAATAAAGTAGTCGGAATAATAAAGACTTTGGGAAAACGAATGACGTTGGTATGAAATATTGTTTTTCATTCTGGCAAAATAAGTCTGGAGGTCATTCCTCATGTAGGACAGTGGTCTCTGCTTACCCCTTTAGGTTATGGGCGTGAGTTATCTTGTTGTTGTTATTTAGATTTCTGGCTACAAAGAATTTCCCCACAAATAAGCTAATTAGCATAAAAAATAAGGTATTATTATAAAATGCTTAAAAACTTATACCTTTTGAAGGTTGTAAAGTCAAGGGTAAAAGTAACGATTTGTCAAGGTACTTTAGAAATGCTAAGTATACTTGTTAAATATAATCCACAAAGTTATGTGTCAAATGTTTACCACAAGCTACGAGTCTGTAAAATCGTGTATTTATAGCGTGCTTTAGAAAGATTACTTAAATACTTTATTATACTTAGTTTGCTAGGTAGTTTAAATGAGTTACGTAACGCCTTAATAGTAAAAAAGCTTTTTTGTGTTAGAATTTACTAAAATTTTACAACACGTTTAAAAATTTTTATCATATATTTTATGATGTGTTTATTTTGTTAGTAAATTTCATTTGCAATTGGTACTGCAGTGAATGGCAACACTGTTTACTGTCATGACGGTATGCCAGCAGGGCAGTCTGATCCCAACTACCTACGGGAGCGAACGTCATCGGCATATATTTCAAGTTCTATTGTTTTTTTGTAATTCAACTATACTTATTATTGGATGTTTATTGTGGACGAGCCTTTATGTCACAGGCTATACCTTGCGATCTGAGAACCGTCGAAGGCTGCGCTAACTCCTGTACAATAAGGTATAAAGCCTTAAACATATTACAATACCTTCGACTATTTAAAAATGCATTGTTATTACGGACTTGTCTCGATTAGGCTGTTGATAAAATTAAATGTTTAATTAACTCTACTTAAAATTTGAACTTAAAAAACTTCATATTAATTTAAACTTCAATTTATTAATGAATTTCTCTTGTTTGTTCATAATTTTTATCATTAAATGACTAGTGTACGTTTTTAGTTTTTTTTTGTACGAACCAATAGTGTTATTATTAAAAATACCATTCATACTTTGTACTTGATTTCAATAGAGAGGTTCTGTGTCCGTAATAAGAACTCCATGTTTACACAAATAATCAGATATAACCGGGCAATATAATTTGTTTCCTTGTATTACGTAGCAAGAACGGAAGATATTGAATTGAGATGATTATCCATCAATATCAATTCCTTCGGGCTGTATTCTGGGAAGGTAATACTGTGGTTAGGAACACAATATTACATGTAATTTAAACTTTAACGAATATACGGCAAATAAACAATAGAAAACTAAAACAAAACTACTTAAAAATGCACTTTATTAATATTTTAATACATGGAGCGAAAATTTTATACTCCCTACTTTTGGGAAATGTGAGAACACATTAGCAAGACACGATTATGATTCAATTGGAAAGAACAAGAAAAGCATAGAGCTATTTAAATAAAAAAAACACTTTTACTTAAATAATGTATTAATTTCGACCAACATTAGTTAAAAATAGTTCTATGTTCGATAAATATTCCATTTCTAGCATGTAAACTACCATATGTTGCACGAGACTTCGTGCTCTTGGTATTAAAAAACTGTAAATGTAGCCTATGTTTCTCACTGATAACTTAAATGGTGCAAGAGTTTTTGAAATCGTTCCAGTAGTTTTTAAGTTATTTCAATTCATAGAAAAATCCAAAAATACAAATCTTTCCTCTTTATAATATTGAGTATAGATAGGCAAAACTCACAGTAATACTATGATCTTGTATCCATTGATCAGCAAAGCTACATTTATTCAAGGTTTCTATAAAACTCAAGCAATATTATTAACAACTTTGTATGAACATAAAATAATATGAGTACAAATGCCAATGTCTATGGTTGAATTTTTGGAAATGAGAAATTATTTTCACTCACAGTCTGACAATGTTAATTGTCTATGGTTTTATAAGGGACCTTTCCACATTTAAGATGACACATCTCTGTTTTTAATTAGTCTGTGACCGTATAAAGGTGTTTAGTTGGGGTTTATAATTTTGCATAAAATTAGACCAACAGAATATGTTATCTCAATTTCTTTCAAGAAATAAATAAGGATGACAATATTTATATTTGTCAGTCAACATCGAAGGCTACAGAACTTTTGTATCGTCGGCGACAATAAAAATCGATACGCTCTGAATAATGTATATCTTTACTTAGAATAGAGTTCTGCAGCCTTTGATGAGACTTGAGATAACATCGGCGGGGAAATACAAACAGAGGTGGCGGGAATTCTACTTGTCACCGTTAATAAGATGTGTCCACTGGTCGACACTTCTAACTTAATCTAAGCTAATCTAAGTAACGATTAAGTTTTTAATTTAATAATGTTTTAATAAACTATCTGCCAATGTTTACTTGTTACATTATAATGTTTTGAACTTATTAAGTTTTTTAGTGGTCAAAAACAATCTAAGTTACCCCACGGATTATTTAGACACTAATACAATATTTAAGTTACATATGATTGTCGATCTTAACTTGCAAAGATTAAAAACTAAAATTATATACAATGATTCCTATTTTCCTATATTGTAAAATTTTTATTTTTGTATGTATTAAACTCAAAAACTACTGGGCTAATTATAAAATAATGATTACTATTAGAAGGTTACGTTATCAGTAGTATGTATAACATAGGCTACATTTATTCCGCGCGGACAAAGTCGTAACATAAGCTAGTATATTACAAACTACCGAAGTAAACTATCAAAAATATTTATCCAATATATATATGATTGCTCATTTTATTAAATGTTATATCATTATTTGGGTTTAATGCAAGTCATGCAGTTTAACAGGTCAGTATATATTTTATACTTATATTATTAATATACGATCTCTTGTTAATAATGAACTTAGAAAGTACGAGTATACTAAAATATATTGCTGTCAGAGAAATAAACGAAATTTAAATAATATTTTTTAAACAAAAAAGTATCTTACATGCTTGTTAAAATGGTTTAAATTTTGCTGTATGTACCTTTAGGAATAATTTCTTGAGTTACTAGTAAAGGAAATAAGTAAAAATACATCTATTTGTATGTTAGAATAATTTGAAAGCTATCCTGAATTACAGCCTGACTAGAAACATAAAAACCTTCGCTATATTGCGGAAAAATATGTGTCTTTGAACATGTTAGAAAGTAACTTATTATAGTTGCCGATTGCAGCGCCCCTAAGCCAAAACGTTTTTTTAGTAATGACCTGCTTCAAATTCAACCAAATCATCATTATCAACTCATCCTCATCCCTAAAGAGGGACAGCACAGTATGTGCTCTTCTTCCATACATCTCTATCAGTCTTCATATCTGAGTTCAGTGTTCAGTCCCTTAACCATATTCTTTTTCACATAAACGATCAATGTTTTCCTCTAACATCGTAACCATTCAGATAAACGACTTGCAAAAATATTTGATTTAAATAAAATTCATTTCTTTCGTCAAAGAATAACTTTAAAACAAACTGTTAATCCGTCTGGATTTGCGACGTGGGATGGAAGTCGGAGCTTAATTACCGTCAAAGCGTGTGCGTGCAGACTATCGCCATCACGCACTATATTTAGAAATGTACAAACACGCTAACGACTTTTTCTCAGAAATTATACCGACTTTTATTATAATACACACAAGGTCAAGTTGGCGATTTTTATTATGTGAGGAAACTAAATTAACTGGAGGAACTAAATTAACGCATACGGGGTCAGTTTCAATATAGCTGCAAACGATAGTAAGATCAGTTATGGATAACGTTAGTAAGTTAGTTTTTAGTGTAGTTTTTATACTTTTAATACTAAATTGCTGCCACTCTGCAAGCCACTTGGTATAAAGTTTTAGCGCATTCAATTTTATGTTATGTGTTTAATTTCCTCTACAAATATTTCTAAATAGGTATATTTTTTATAGTACCAGGTGACAAACGACCTATTGGCCACCGGAATTCGCGGAAATGGCGAAATGACCGCAGCCCACAGAATCTGCATTTCCAGACTCGTTGCCTACCTCTAATCAAAGGAGAATATTTCCACTACCAATATGTCCTATCCCCTGCCATATCCTCTTCCATCCTTTGTACCAAAAGATTAGAAATAGAAAGAGGACTAAAATTAAGCTTTAAGAGGTATTTGCATTTTTATTAGGTTTTCGCGTGACTATGTCCAGTCGAGCTTCGCAGCACATCGCCTTTAAATGCATTTTGTAATTATAAAAACTGAAAGAAAAAACTAAATGTAATTCATTAAAGAATGCGTCATGCGCTCGTTTACTTATAAATTATACTAGCTTTCGCCCGCGACTCCGTTCGGGGAATAATAAGAAAAGCAAATAGCCTATGTGTCTTCAGTCAAATCTCTACATCGACGAAATTTGCGTCGCGATAACAACTAACAAACATCCATCCATCTAAACTTTTGCATTTATAATAACTATTATTAAGATTTATACATGTGTTTACTTCGTTAGTAAAAAACAGAATGCAGTAGAGTAAAGTAGTTCTTAGTAGTGTTGTATTAAATAAAAAAAACAAAAGCGATGTCCCAATTATTTATAGATACCCAATTAATATTATAGAGTTCATTTTGTTTTACGATATTATTAATGTAGAAAAAAAAATTGATAGAAAATATAACTGGTAAAATATTGTTTTAAATCGGTGTAGTTTAATTTAATTCCGATCTACGAATTCAACGGTAATATTTTCACTTTATTAATACAACTAGCTATCGC